AAAGGGAACAGGAAATAGAAGAAAAAAAAAAAAAAAATTCATAAAATATAAACGCAAAACTACATCGCGCGCAAAAACCTGAACGAAAAGGAAGCAAAAAGGAAAAATGTTGTTTGGACGCAACTCACGTTGGGGTATATAAACACATGATGTCACTTGTGTCGAAGGGGGAAAATAAATCATGAAAGTTGAACGCGCGGAAAAAGTGTGTAGTAAGGCGGGTTGGGGGAATTACATACACATAGATACATGTGTACATATATATATATGCACATGCGCGTACGTATGAAAAAGCACTAATGGGCAAAGAGGACAAAGGGTAAATATGTAAACAGGTGAATAAACACACAATACCGGGCATACACACAGGTACATATACACATATACTTGAGCATATATATACACATATAAGCGCATATACAATTGGGATTAACTTTTAAAAATTTAATTTTAAAATGGCAAAGCACGCGCAGCTGGGTGCGCAGAAAAGGGGGGGGGTGGGGGTATTGCCGGCTACACACACACGAGCGAGCACGAAAGGGAGAAAGAGAGCCGACCGTAAGCAAGCGGGCCGCGCGCCCGCCCCCCCCCCCCATTCACTTCCATTTTTGTTGCATAGTTAGGTAAGCTTCGCAATATCCGGCGGAAGGAGATCATCCATGCGCTCATGGGCAAACATACAACGCACAGGCAAAAAAAAAAAAAAAAAAACGTGAAAGAGGGATAATAGGACACATCCACATATGACACGCTTATATTTTCTTCACCTTGTCCGCAACTACCTTGACGTTATTTTTTATTAACTGTTGCTTGTGATAATTTTTATAATCAAATGTGCAGTTATGTGCATCGGCATATCTGTGAACAGAGCAGAAGTAGTGGTTGCATCTGCATTTAATTCCCAACAGGCCTATACGTTTGCAACAGAAGAAGCATTTCTTCTTGTCCTCAGCTTCATCCACGTTGCTACTGCTGCTCTGATCATTTGTCTCGTTCGCAACAGGGTTAATACAACTACTTGCGCTTGCGTTTTGGTTACTGTCATTATTATCCTTGTTGTCCTTTTCGACACTGTTTATGTTTAAGTCAGAGCAGAGGGGTTGCTGCTGGTGCTGCTCCTCCTCAGGTATAACATTTTCATTGTTCATAAAAATCGGTTTCTCCGTTTCCATCTTTTTATTGCTTATATAACTTGGCTCCATTAGGCTATTTATTTTTTTATAATTAGGCAAATTTTCTGTGATGTCTTTTTCGTTTATTTTCTCCATCTCCGATATTTCTTTTTTTTTCTTTTCTTGGAACTCTCGGTAACATTTTGAGCACAAGTTGTTGTTCGCGGGGTTCCCGTAAAACCCGCAGTTGTTCTCGCACAACACCGGGGTTGGCTGTAAGTGGGGGTGAGTGATTGAGTGAGCGAGTGAGCGAATTAGTGTGTGGGCACGGCAAGTGAACACAAAAACAAAAAGGTATGTAAATGGGTAAATTGCGCATTTATACGTCGGGATTGTCTTTCCCGCCCGATACAGGCAAAACGTGCACATGAACGCCGCTTGGCAGTCTGCTTACCGTAGTTGCGTTTTTCTCCGAACTCATTCTGCCTTGGCTTCCTTAATAAAGAAATATATATTTTAAACAGGTAAACAGCGATAGGGGTAAAATAATCAAAAAAAAAATGATTAAAAAAAAAAAAAAAAAAAA